GTCCATTGCTGGGCCATAAAGTGGCTATAGTTAAAGCTGAGACCAGGGGGTGGGGCCTGAAAGGTACCCGTAAGTCCTGCTCTGACATCTGTGCAGACTGCCCTATCCTCAAACGTCAGCCTGCCTCATAGTCACCAGGAGGGTTTGTTAAGGGAGGGATTTCTGGGCCCTTCCCCTAGAATTTCAGATATTGCATGTCTGGGGTGGGGGCAGGGAGGGCTGGAGAATTTGTATTTCTGAGACGTTCCCAGCTGATGCTGATGCTGTTGGTCTGTGGACACACTTTGAGTACCAGATCTATAGGAAGTCCACCCCCCGCCCTCAACTTTGGATGACTTCTGCTTGTGTGTTTGATTTTTGCACACCCAGCTTTGTTCTTTTCCTCTTTGGGGGGGGGCACACATGTTCGCCATCTAGGGTTGCCAGATCTAACAAATAAAATGTAGGATGCCCAGTTAAATTTGAAATCTAGATAATGAAGTAAAACGGTTTAGTATAAGTATGTCCCAGATATTGCATGGGACATACTTATACTAAAGCAGGTCACCATTTCTCTGAAGTTCAAATTAACTGGATGCTCTGTGTTGAGTACGTCAACCTTTTCATCAAAGTGGAGGTCAAGCATCTCTCTCCTTTTGCCGCTTTCCTGTGATTGAATAGGCTGCAGCTGCTGATGAAACAAGCCCAGAGTGGGTGTGTGTGTCAGAGGAATCCACCTGCTGCCCTGGGTTTACATGCCAGTCTTGGCTTGATCTCAGCTGAGACGGACTTGGCTTGTCTTCATTTGATTCTCTAGCTGGCTCTCTGTTTTTCTCTCTCTGTCCATTTGTCTATCCCTCCCTCTCTCTCCTGCTTTCTTTTATGCCCTCTCTCTTATGGGGCTCTAAAAGGCAGAAATCTGTGAAGCAATGGGGCTGATCCAGGAAAAGTCTGTTCTTGGCAGTAAGGACGGAGTCCAAGAGATGGGTGACCTCCCGGTGTTTGAGGGAAGAGTGACATCTGGCCTAGAGAGAGTGCAGAGATCACCAGCTGGCTCATCATGTATTATGAAAAGGATAACACGAGTCTTGGAGAATGATGCCTACCATGGCTGGGGCCCGGGGCCTTCTGCAGCTGGTTCCATCGTGGTTGGAGTTGGACTGTGTCGAGGGCTTGAAGGAAATTGATACCACTTGGTTTTTGATGTTGACAGAGGGAACCTACTACTGTGAACTTTATTGTGTGTTGAGGGGTGGAGAAAAACTTGAACAATCAGAGGCCTCCTGGAGACTTGGACTTGGACGTGGCCTCCTCCTAAATGGCCCCATTTGTCGCTTTTGCTTGCCAAAGGCTGCCTTGACGCTGAGAATGGAAGAACAGAAGGCTTAGCCACTTCCTTCACTTTGTCTTCCCCCGTGCTGCCTGCCACTCTCACGCCTGTGTCCTCCCCCTCTCTTTTCTGAACAGCTTCCTTTCTGAGGCCCTGGCGCCGGCTGATCAGGCTGCTGTTAGGGAAACAGGCCACAGCCCGAGAGGAGCGGGCTGCTGCTGCCCCATTGGTCACCCCCGGGGGCCTGGGATGAGGGCTGATTTGAGGGCTCTGCTGTAGTCCTGTGTCCCTAGCACTGCGTGGAGGATAGTGGGGTCAGGAGAACCTGGCATCCAAAGTGAGGGGGAGAGAGGAGCTGTCTCCCTGTTGTGCCCATCTGCCCTGTGTGGGTCTGCAGCAGCAGGAACAGGTATTTTTTCCCCTCTATCAGACACCAGGGAAAGCTGTTCCTTATGTGGGAACAGTGGCAGGCACTGTGCTGGGTAAGGAAGGCAGATAGGGGTGATACCTCTGTGGACATCGGGCATCTGCTGTCCCAGGCTTTCTTGTTGGCTCTTTGTCATGGCCCTGGGAGACCTCTGGTGCTTAGTGTCCCCAGTTAACAAGCACCAGAGACAGGGTAGGCCAGCCCAAAGTCACATGGCCAGTGAGCATGGGACAGAACAGGCTATGTGACAGATGCTTCCTCCTCTCCCAGTGGCTGGGGCTGCCCCTGTCCTCTTTGTGGAGGAGCCCTCTGGCCAGCACTCCTAAATGCTTCCCCCTCTGTTTCCAGTCTGGCTCACTCTACTCCCACCTTGCCCTCATGGCCCTGCCTCTCTGTGGCTCATCATTAGGTAATGGATTCCCCAAAGGGCATCTGCAGCAGGAAGCCATGTTCTCTGGGGTCACGCCTCCTTCCTCCAGCCTGGGTGGCCAGTGATGGTGGAGAGGCCATGGCTGGTGGCGGCCAGTCAAGATCCTTAGGGTTCCCAGTCTTGGTGACAGAGAACCGACCTCACAGGAGGAAGCGAGCCCCGCTCTGTGCCGTGGGAGGGGACTGGCACTGTCTGGGAGGTTCCCAACACCTTGGGATGGAGCTCAGGGCCTCAGGTCTGCCGTGGTGGGCAGATAGCTGCTCTCACGCATGCCCGGGACCCTGGACCATGATGGCATCCTACCCTGACCCCATCAGCTGTGATTTCCTGTCTGATATTGCATCAACATATGTGCATTACTGTCTTTAGTCTGTGAGTCCCTTGGCAGGGGCTTGACATAGCCAGTGGTCCCCCTCCCTCAAAATGTACACACATTCTAAGAAAGGAAAAAACTATTAAATTTGTAATACTCAAGTCACAATGGACTTCTGCAATTCCAGGAGGTGCTCAAGGTGACTCGTATTCATCTTTTCTGATCAGTATGTATTGAGTCTAAAAAGTTTAATACATTCTCATGGGACACACTACTATAGGGACTCTACCTAACAGATGCAAACATTGTAACTTAATTGTATCCTCACACTAATCTGAAACTGAAAAAAAATAAATAAAATTTAATACATTTTCTTCCTTTCTTAAAACGGGCATACATTTTTTGGGCACCCTCTGTATTTGGAAAAAGGATATTTACCACCTTGTTCCTATCCAAAAGGGACCATGGAGGAGATGGAGGAAGAAATCTATAGCGTCTGCCCCTCTGGGCTCATGTGTTCCAGTTGGAGAGACTGAACAGGGCTAAGTCAGTGAGTCCCTGGGCAGTGGCGTGATCACCTGCCTGGGCCAGGTGGAAAAGGGCTTCATGGGAGGGACTGGAGTGAGCCTTGGGGAGGGGTAGGAGGGAGGTGACGCTGACACTTGACCACCTGGTGCTGGAATGGATTCCTGCAGTTCAGTTACAACTTGGTGCTTGGATGCCCCTTTGGCGGGGAGATGATGGTAACCAGAGGTTTTGCTCACAGATGATCTGGTGGCCCCATTGCCCCACACCCTATGGAAGCTCCATTCTGGCCTTATCTTGCCCACTTTCATCACACCTCAGGGTTGAGGCCTGGCCCTATCCCCCTGGCTCCTTCTGGAGAGAGCCATTTGGCCAAACTTTCAAAGTCTTTGAAGGTTCTGTGTTAGTTTCCTGGGGCTGCTGTCACGAAATGCCCCAAACTGGGTGGCTTAAAACAGAAATTTATCGTCTCTGCATTCTGGACGTCAGAAGTGTGAAGTTCAGGCGTTGGCAGGGCTGGAGGGAGCATCTGCTGATGGCTTTGCTTTCTCCTAGTTGGCGTCATTGCAATCCTGGGTGTTCCTTGTGCTGTACATACCTCACTCCAACACCTCTGCTCTCATGGTGTGTCACATTCTCCCTGGGTGTTTGCGTTTTTTCTCCTTTTTCTCTCCATCCTTTTTTTTTTTTTTTTTTTTTGTATTAATGGAGCATTTATTTATTTATTTATTAGGTCATAACTACGTACATTACTGCATGTATGAGGTACAATGTGCTGATTTTATATATATTTTGGAATAACAAGAACCCTAGTTATGGGATCTAGGGTCACCCCAATCCTCTGTGACCTCATTTTAACATGATTACACCTGCAAAGACCCTATTTCCAAATAAGACTATATTCATAGGTCCTGGGGATTAGGACTTTGACTTCACGTAGTTTTTTTTGTTGTTGTTGTTGGGGCAGGGGACACAATCCAGCCCACAACAGATTTGGGGGTTGTTTTTGCCTCCAAATCCCATCAACCTGTTAGTCTCTGCCCCTGCCAGCTCACCTCCCAGGACCCTGTAGGAGTGGGACAGGGGTAGAGACTCCAGCCCACCCACCCTCTCACAGCACTTTCTCTCATATGCTGAGCTCCAGAGTGAGGGAGCAGGAGTCGAGGTTGCCGAGGTTGCAGAGACATGGGTGTCTCTGTGCTCTCTGGGACCTCCCACATCGGGCCTGGTTCTGGGGATGGGAACAGGCCCAGGTCAGACAGTGTCTGTCTTCAGGCAGCTCTTGGCTTGTGGGGAGCACAGAGCCGTGCATGAGCAGCAGCACCATCAATGCCGACAGAGAGGCGTGGGTGACATCATGCTACAGATATGGGGGATGGAAAGGCTGATTTGCCTGGAAGAACTGGGGACTGAATGGAGGGATGGCAGGGGAGCCTTGGATCTGACTGGATGCAGGAGAGTCCAGCTGGGAATGTGCGTTGCATGTCCACCCTAAGATACTCCTCTTTCACCTCTGTGTGTGCTGGTTCCTTTGACCCTCAGGCAGGTCCTAGGAGGTAGCCAGGGCAGGGATTATTGTACCCATTTTGCAGATGGGAAGAATGATGTAATGGTGGCAAGGCCATCCAGGAGTGTGACTGAGCAGACAACAGGGCCCAGCTTTCCTGCCTTGGGTCCCTGTGTTCTCTGTGAACTGACCCCGGGTCCTCTCTGTGTTCTCTGCCTAAAAGCCATTTGGAGCAGGCAGTGGCTGTGCTTTTTAGAGTCCTTTTTGCCAGTAGGTCACTAGTTCTTTGTCTTTGTCCTCAAGGAGCTCACAGCTTGAGGCCCCTAAGAGTTGGTTCCTCCTCCTTTCCTCCTCTCTGTCTTCCTGGCTTCTCCCGGTGCTGGGACACTGCAGGGAGGAGAAGTTCTGTGACTGCTGGGCAGAGGGAGCAGAGGACAGAGGCAGCCAGACTAAGCTGTTTTCTCTGTTGGGTCTTCTCTCCACCACCAGGTCCCGGCTGGCAGATTTTCATGCCAACTGTCGAGCCTCCTACCAGACGGTCACCAGCTGCCCTACGGACAATTACCAGGCGTGTCTGGGCTCCTATGCCGGCATGATTGGTAAGCCCCCCCGCCCCAGCACACCTGGGCTTGCAGTGGCTTCTTGCTGTGTCCCTCTCAGCAGGGCAGGGGCTTCAGCCCAACTCAGGCAGCTGGTGGAGGCAGCCTCCTGGCCTTCTCTGTGGCAGATTGAGCCAGGGGAAGCAGCTCTGTGGCTAGGAGGTAGAGGCCTGTCTTTATCTCTATCTTAAGGAGGAGGGTCTGGTCCTTATTGTGGGGTGGGGGTGGGGGTAGGGGATGTCCCAGAACCTTATGAGGCTTTTGAAATTGGAAGAAAAAGTAACATTTATGGCATGGTTCTGATATTCTGGGCACTGCACTAAGCCATTTACATGGACTGACTATCTGGGTTCTCCTGACAGCTACTATGGGCTGTTGATATTTCCATTCTGCAGATGAGGAAACTGAGACATAGAAAGTTCAGTAACTTGCACAGGCTTACCTTGCTGGTAAATGTTGGCACTGGGATGTAAGCCCAGGCTGTGAACCTCACTCACCCTGATTCTAGCACACTCTGTGATTGTTGGTGAAAGAGAAAGACAGGGCCCACCTGATGGGAGCAGCTTCTCAGCCTTCCTGGTGATGAGGAGCCCAGCATCCTCTAAGGATCTGGCCTCTCTGTCCCCCACAGTAGTGCTCAGAGTTAGGACTTGACATATGTGTGTGTTTGGGGGACAAGTGGGATGACAGGTCCTTAGCTCATGCTCTGCTGTGCCAGGGGCCCTGGAGCTCAAGGGGAAGGCCTTACTACCCCTTCCTCCTTTCCTTTCCCTTTCTCCCTGCCCAGGGTTTGATATGACCCCCAACTACGTGGACTCCAACCCCACTGGCATCGTGGTGTCCCCCTGGTGCAGCTGTCGTGGCAGTGGGAACATGGAGGAGGAGTGTGAGAAGTTCCTCAGAGACTTCACGGAAAACCCGTGCCTCCGTAAGTGCTGGAGAGTCCTCCCCATCCCCAGACGCCCCTCAGGGCCCCCTTTATCCTAGCCACTCCCTATCCATGCATGGGAATGACCGGTGGTAGATATGATGCTTCTCCATCATGGTGTTGCCTATGGCGGTTTTGAGCTCTTGGGGATTCACACTATGACTGTGGGCAGGCCAGCTCCAGCCATGCGCCTTTGGAGACAGAGCCCTCTCCTGAGGGTTGCCAGCATTTGTCACTTCTCCCTTGAATGAGTTCATTTCCCCTTGGAATTGGTGACTTTCTTTCAAGTCATCAAACTCCTAATCCAGAGACTAGAGAGAGAGGTTGGAGCCCGCCATGCTCAGGCTGCCTTTGATCTTTCCAGTCTGATACCCACTGCCATCTGTGTCCCCGTGAAGCTCTCTTCTCTCTTTCCTCTCCTCCTTTCTTCCTTCTGTCCATCTGTTCCTCCATCCTTCTCTCCATCCTTTCTCTATGGCACTGAGGATACAGAGAGACAAGTCACCAGGGAGCATGCAGTGAGGAGCTGTGTTGATCACAGGATGGGGATACAGGTCCCAGATTGGGGGGGTCTACTCAGCATTCCTGAGCAGCCAGGGTGGGGATGCCCAAGTCACCAGGCAGAGGGAGGCCCTGAAGGCTTCTCAGACGGTGAACCCATTGCCGGCTGAGTTCCTGGGCATCGGTCAGGGAGCACCAGCCAGTAAACGTTGGGTGGAGGTCCAGGGTACCACAGAAGGCCATGGCAGGTTGAGGGAACTGCCCACCATGGTATAGCATTGCTACATAGCACTGAAAGTGACCAGAGTGGCAGAATTCTCCAGACAGGTAGAAACCATCCTCCTCATGAAGGACCTCACATGCCTGAAGTCATGGGGATCTTCCTGCCTTGCAGGTAGTGAGGGTGGTGGTGGGGGTCCCTGAAGGGATGTCAGCAGGTGGTGTTGAGATCAGGTCAGCTTTCCAGAAATCTGATCTGCCTGTGGTGTGGAGGTGGTGGAGGTTAGAGATGGGGTTCTGACAAGTGACTCAACAGGGAGAGTGACATCAGAGGCTGCGGTAGCTGCTCATGAGGGAAGGGAGTGATGTGGGTCACAGGAGGGGACAGTGAAGAGAGATGGGGTGGACAGGTCTTGAGGAGGTGGGCTCAGTTGATGGCTGGAGGGTGTTTAGGGAGGCACTGTGGGTGACCCCAAGATTCTGTCTTGGGGACTTGGGCAGGTAGAGATGGTAATGCAGGGAGATGATGGGCAGGTAGAGATGGAAATATGGGGGAAGGAAGCAATGGTTGGCAGTGGCTGGGAGTGGTGCCTAGTCAGGCTCTGGCATGATGAGTTTGAGGTACACACAGAACATGGAAGTAGAGATTTTCTAGGCTCTTCTATAGACAGAGTGGGAGGCCGGAAGGCCACTCGGAAAGGATATGGTGTAGAGAGGGCAGAGGACTAAGCCTTGGCCCTTGGGATGCCAGTGGTGGTGGCAAAGGAGCCAGGAGAGTCTGTGCCTCTGGAGCTGGGGTGGGGAAGCTCCTGAAGGCATGGCCTGCTGCACTTGGCCCAGAGGAGATGCCTGGGCGCCCTTGAGGCTCCCCGTGCCCCCCTCTTTCTTCTTTTCCTCCTTTTCCTCTTCTGCATTCCTCATCACATGTCTCTTCCTCCTTTGGATTCTCTGTCTTTCTCAACCCCCGGAGCTGTTTTCTTGCCTAGGTGTGAAAACTTGGTAGGTGCCTGAAAGGGGCTTCAGCAAAGTTGGATTTGGATGTGCTACACTCTCTCCCAGCTTCTAGACTGTTCCAAGGGAAGGGAGTGGGCAGGCTGAGGTGGGTCCTGATATCTACCTGTCCCCACCCCAGGGAACGCCATCCAGGCCTTTGGCAATGGCACAGATGTGAACGTGTCCCCTAAGGGCCCCTCATTCCAGGCCACCCATGCCCCTCGGGTGGAGAAGACTCCTTCTTTGCCAGATGACCTCAGTGACAGCACCAGCCTGGGGACCAGTGTCATCACTACCTGCACGTCTGTACAGGTGAGGGGATGTGTCTAAGGGGTTGGGGCAGCACTATGATGCTAGGAAATGACTCAGCTGGGGCAGGGAGGGAGCGCTGACTGCCCTCACTTTGGAGCAAGGACTCCAGAGGCAGGGAGGGGGTGGTGGGCGTGGTTCTCCTCCTGCCCATTCATTTGGGCATTCCTGGTCCAAGTATCAAACACCTGTTAAATCACAGTGCTATGCCAGATGCCATGGGGTACAAGTGAAATGTAATAGTTATCACTTAATAACCACCTGCTAATTACCAGGTAGTGTGTTACAGATCCTCTACCTGTCTCCCTGAATTGTCACACAATGAGATGCTGGTATTCTGGTTTTACACATAGGAAATTAACCTGGAGGGCTTAGATGATATACTCAAGATCATTAGCTGGTTGGTGGTAGAATACGATTTCAAACTTACATCCTGTTCCAAAGCCCATCATGTTCATTTGTCCATCCATCCATCCACCTGTCCATCCAACATGTGTCCCATAACCAGTGTGTGCCAGGTCCTGTGAAAGGTGCCAGGTCTCGTGAAAGGTGCCAGGACTCACTGATGAATGAGGCCAACACGGTCTTGGGTTTTGTGGTTCTTATGGCCCTGTTGAGGGTCAAGCATTTAAATAAGCAGCAGACACGGACTGAAGTTGGTGCTGTGACACATGTGGCACTGTCCGTTGCACATCACAGGGCTTCTCACTAGTTTCTCTCTCTGCTGAGCTGCTCTCAGTCCATGCCCCATTCTCTATGGGAAGTTCTCTGCTGAAGAAGTTGGTTCTAGACAGAACACACACACACACACACACACACACAGCCCCAGAATAAAGAACTTAGAAGGGGACCCAGTGCAGAATATCAGGGAGGGCGGAGGAGGAAGGGTACAGGGAGGTTGTGGCGGGTGGCCACGGGTATTTCAGGCAGGGGCTGGGGCTTCAATTTCCAGGCAGGTTGTGGGATATGAGGAGTGGTCAGGGGGCATAGCAAGACCTGGCTGTGTGAGGCTGAGAAGAACCAGTCTGAATGGGGCACTGGGCTCACGGTGTCAACAATGAGGATCCACAGTGCCAGGATGAGGATGTGAGCAGGGACTTGGCCCGGCGAGCATGAGGGTCCCTCTTGGGTGCCCATGGCCTATGTGCTAGTTCCTGTCTGGTGGGGGAAGCCCTCTTCCCATCCACTTCCTCTCCCTGGCAGGATCTCCTGCTCAGTGACAGCTGACTTCCAGGCGCCCTGCTGCTGTGCTTGGCAGGGAGCTCTTCTGTGTCCTGCTCCCTCCATTAGGCCCTTCTCATTTGGGCAGAGGTGCCCATGTCACCCTTGGGTGGTCCTAATAGCACTGAGCATGCTTGAGTGGCTGCCACCAGGGTCCTACTCTACAGATAATTGCCCGCTCAATTTCATGCTGAAGTGGTGGGCAGATCAGCCAGCCAAAGCTGTGCCACCTGTCAGGTGACTGTGCCCTGGTGTCGACCTCCAGGCTTCCCTGCATGTTGCCTCCTGAGGTGGCCCCTCAGCTGCCAACTCTCCCTCACTGTGCTTCCTCTTGGGTGCAGGAGAGCTCAAGGCCATGACTCAAGCCCCCTCAGTACTAACCCCTGATGACTCTGAGTCCCACTTTTACCTTTTTTGTTTTCCCTCAGCAGTTTGCTAAACTGCCCATCACTTGGTTCCTTCCTGCCCCAGTCTGCTTTTCTGCAGACCTGCCATCTGGGGGCTGCCTGGACCTTGGTCTGATTCCAGTGGAGATAATGGCAGTTTGTTGGTGAGGCGTGTGTGTAAAGGTGCATGGCGTTAGGTGTTGTGAATCCTGGGGACTGGGACTGCCTCCTAGCAGGTGTCTCCCATGAGTGTCCATTGGGACCTAGTGACAGAGTCATCTTGGGCAGGAGAGCCGGGCCAGCCCCCCCTGGAGGAAGGGAGAGAAGCAGACTCCCCCAAAGGACTGTCACCATCACTCTCCAGGCTCCTTGGAGGAGTGGAGGGGAGGGCCCCTGACTCTGTCCTAATCACTGCCCTGTTATTTAGTGAGTACCTGCTATTCCTTGCCAGGTGCCGGGGGAGTGGCATGAGTGGCCCTCCTTCCTGCTCTTGGCCCAGTGGGGCTGGCATGGGGTCCCAAGGCCACACCCCTCTCCTGGCTGTCAGCTCCCCTGGTGTGAGCCATTTCTGCTCAAATGGCTCTGTGGCGGCCCTTGTGGGACCCTTGGGAATATAGGGACTCCCATAGTTATAGAAGGGAGTTCTTGCATAAGGACAGGGACAGGGAGCCATGGGTGCCTGGCTGGGGGAAGCCGGTGGACCTCAGATTCTCCATAGAGAGAGAGGCAGGATGCTTTGTTGGTCTCTATGCTCCTCTATCCTTCCTCTTTCCTTGGGGAAGCTTCAGGGACCCCAGAGATGGCTGCCAGTTGGGGACCACGTGTGGTGTCTGGATGTCAGGACTTGAAGGACCCTCTCAGGGGTCCTTCCCAAACCCAGGGGACTAGAGGCCTGGCCAGGGCAGCATCCTGTAGGTGGTGGCTGGGCAGGGCCAGCCTGGTCACCTGGGGTGGCCTTCTCCTCCAGGTCTGCTCCCATGAAGGACTTTCCCACTCTGGGATAGAGGGATGTGGGTGCTAGGCTGCAGTGTGGGAATCTTGGACTCCACAGAGGAGCTGGAGGCCCCTGTGTGCCATGTGTCCAGTGCTGCCTCAGGTCCTGCTCTGGTGTATGTCTCCTGGCTGTGGCCCCCACCCGGTGGCACTTCCTGCCTGGGACTCTGTGGAACTTGGAGAAGGCCTGGTGGGGTTTGCGGAGCAGTCTCTGCTGGGGCCTCTGCCCTGCCTGTCTGTGTCTCTTGTCTGAATTTCCTTACCCTTTCCCATCCCACTATTCTCTGGAGGAGGGAGTCTGGGGCGAGCAGGGCAGTCTTGGACTCTGATCCAAGGCCCTCTGTTCCTGAAGCCTGGCGAGGGGACCAGGGTCCAGGCCTGCAGATGGGAGAGCCAGATGCAGGAACTGCACTTGTCAGCTCCTTGAGCAGAATGCCTCTCCTTCCCCCTTTCACCGTTTTCCACCAGCAACCCCCCCTCAAATGTCACCTCTTGGGGTCATCTTCTTAGATTCCACCCAGGCAGTCACCATCTGCCTGTCCTCTCATCATGGTATGTCCTCTCTATGTTAGGCCAGTGTCCCAGATGCTGGGGTGATGTCTCCTCCTCCTGTGTCACCCTGTATAGCTCAGAGCATAGGGCCTAGCATGAGCAGGTACTTTGTGCAGATTGAAGGGAAGAACCCAGAGTCCCATTTCATTTGATTAATTGGACCTTCTGCCCTCTTCTAGGACAGGTCTGTGTGGGGTGCTGTTCTCAACTCCTATTCCTTCCCTTGGAGTCCTAAGTGTGCAGGGTGCTAGGTGGGTACAGAGGGAAGGATGCAGGAAGATTGGCTTCTTTGCTCATGTGATGGGGTCTGGGGGAGACTGTGATGGGTCAGTGGTTTCCCTGACCATATCCTATTGCCACCATCCCTGTCATTCCCCTTGGGTAGCTCTGGGCCCAGAGCACCAATTTGCAGGGCCCCCAACTGAAATCTCACCTTTCCTGAGGCTGGGTGCCCTTGACATACATCTCTTTTGCTCTCAACCCACCAATTCCTGCTCTTATACTTGACAAAGCCAGTCCCATCTTGGGGGAATGAAAAGTGAGTTTGCAGGGGCTGCCCCAAGGCCCTCTTACCACATGCCTGTAGCAGGCAGCCACCTCTCCCTATTTGCTCCCTGGACGAGTCTCCTACCCTGTGCACAGGCCTGAGGGCATCGGAGTGTGGGACTGAGAGGCCCATTTGTGTGTTCACTCATTTATTTAGCAGAAGTTTTTGCTGCCTGTCACCATATCCCAGGCACTGAAGCTAACATGCTTGACAGGCTGGTGCCCTGGGGCTTATGCCGGTGGGGTAGATGGGAACACCCTTAGGTGATTGTGATGAGAAGGCCAATGGTGCCCTATCCCTTGTGGGGTTGGTAGACTGGGATAGGGTCTGGAGGAGGCCCTGCCTTGATGGGGAGTGGAAGCCAAGGACACATAGATGACATGACACCTGCTGCCAGGCCCAGAAGAGTAGTGAGGACAGGCTATGTGTGGCTGTGTGGCTGGGGTTGGGGTGAGCCCAGGCATCCCAGGTGGAGGGCGTGGGGTAAGGACAGCACCAGTAGGGTCCACCCTACCTGTTTTTATAAACTAAGTTTTATTGGAAAACAGCCAGATTCTGTCATGTATGCCTGTCTCTATGTCACAGGCAGAGTTGAGTAGTTGTGACAGATGACATGTGGCCGGCAAAGCCTATTTACTTGCTCTCTGGCCCTTGGCAGAAAGCATTTGTGGACCTGGGTTTGGGTGGGACACAGAGGATTTAGTGGGAAGAAAAGGTGGGCGTGTGACGTGAATGGCAGGAGGAAGTGGTGAGTGTTGAGAGGCCTTGGACAGCTCTGGAGCCAGGGAGTGGTGAGTCGTGATCAGAACTGTGATTTAGTGAGATTAATCCGACAGCAGGTGGGGACTGGTTGACAAGGGCGAGGTGGAAGCCCTGTTAGGAGATCTCAGCCATTGTGGGGGGCAGGAAAGGACAGCCTGAAGTGGGGTGGTGGGAGGGGTGTGGGGAGAAGAGGTGTGAATTACTGGGGGCAGGTGCAGGTGAGGGGAAGGCCAAAGGCACTGAGATTTAGGGGTGGAGCCAGGAACAGAACGCAGGGAGCATAGGAGATCATGGCCAGCTCAGGCCAGCAGGGCCACTCTGGACTCAGTCACTAGTACCTGTGTCAGGTCAGGCTTTGAGTGGAGGGTGGGGACAGAGGTGGGCCAGGAAGAGGAGGAAGACAATAATTTCCTTCCAACTTCCGGGGCGCTGAGGCCTCCTGGGGAGAAAGTTCTAGGAGGATTAAGTGAGCCTTGGCTGTAGTCCTCCCTCCTTGTCTGTGCCCTTCTCCCAGACTCTTTCATGCATCTGGTGGGACTCTACTGTGAAGCCCATGGGGAGTCACCTCTTTCCATAAACTCCTTCCACCTGCCTCTATGGCAGAAGGTTTGTTCTTAGGAGCCCTGTGTCCTGCCATCCTGTGGGACACTGTCAAATCACAAACCTTGAGCTTGCCTCTGGGGGATGAAAGGCTCAGAGAGGGGACATGGGTGAGGCTGGAGTGACCCTCAGCTATTCCCCTGCACTCACACACATGGAGGAAGAGCAGCCTTCTCTCTCCTTCGTGCTGATTTAACTGGTGTGCAGGTGATTACCTGGGGGTTGATCAGGGAGGGAGTCCCTCTGGGGAAAGGCATTTTCTGGAGGGGTTGGTGAGTTTGAGCCACTGGTCGTCTAGGTCTTGGGTGGTGAAATTTCTTTCTCTCTGCCCCTCCCTCCACCCTGTGCCATTGTTAGAAAAGGCAGCTGCTGGGCAGACACTCTGCCCTGTGTGGCCAGGTGTTTCTGGAAATCAGGGAGCTGTGTCTACTGGGGCAGAGGCATTTGCCTCGGGGGTTGTCATCTGCAGAGAGGGGAGCTGGCGGGGGCAGCGGGCGACCCACTTGCTGGGGCTTTACCTCACAGCCCCTTCCTCACCCCTTTGCTGCTTTGTTCTGGTCCCTGCCTTCTGATGCAGGCGCACAGCCCTCTAGCTGCGCCATGTGCGGCATCTTGCGTGATGGTCACTGTTGGTTAGTGAGGTGTGCTTATCTGTCCCCATTTTCCAGATGAGGAAATTGAGGCTCCAGCAGACTTACCCTGGCTTGTTGGCAGAACCAAGCTGTGTGCCCAGGGCTCTAGCCTCTTGGGCCCTGCTGCTGTTCCACTTCCAGGCCTCCCAGGATCTGTCCTGAGAAGATAGACACCAAGGCTGAGAACCCTTCAGTCTGGGATGGGTCTGTGGGGACAAAAATCTGTTAACTGGATCTCAAAGTGCCTGGGGAAGCAGTTCAGGGCAGCCTGATGGGTAACCACAGCCAGGGTGTAGCCCGTCAGCCATGGATGCCCACCCAGCTGCACTGTCTGTGGGCTCAGAAAGACCCAGACAAATGTGGATGACAGCTCCATGATGGGGGCTGGGGAGGGGTGGTGTCCCTGATCTTCATGGAGGCTAGTACATTCTCCACCAGAACCAGCCATCACCATGTTGGATGTTCCATGTTGTTGGTCGGTGGGGGTGGGGGTGGAGGTATGTGGGCCTAGGGCCCCTTCCCTCCTCTGCTGTCCCTACCCCTTCCCTTTCCTCTCCTCCTTCCTCTCCCTCCCCCCCTTTCCTCCCCTGCCCCCATCTGTCCCTTGGCCTATCCCTCCCTTTCCCTACTACCCCTCTGCCCCATCCTGCTCCTGCCTCTTTGTCCCTTCCGTTCCCTTCTGCTCCTCCGTCCCTTTCCTCCCTTTCCCTCCTCCTCTTCTCTGTCCCTGGCTCTCCCCTCCCCTTCCCTTCTGTCCCCTTCCCTCCCCACTCCCTGCCCTCTCCTGCCTTTCCTTTCCTCTGCTTCTCCCTTCACCTTGGCTCCTGCTGCTGTCACCTCCCTCCTGTTCTCCTCATCCCTCTCTTTTTCCCCATGTAATATTTGCCTCACTCCCCTCCGTTCTCCCCTCATTAAGAGGAACCTGTCAAGTTCTTCTCACTGAGGAGCAAAACCCAGTCATCACGGGTTCTCTCCAGAAAGTGTCAGCACTCCGGGCGTCTCCTCACACCTGGCTGAGCTGCCAGGCCAGGGCAGGATGCTGGTCCTCCTGCTTTGTCAGCACGAGCTGACCTTGGCTATGACCCTGCCGGGCATCTAGGCCTGTCTGGGACCCGGGCTTCCCTGAGATCTGGCTTCACAGCACAGAACACAGAACGCTGTGCTGGCCCCACCTTGGAACACTTCTACTTCAGCTGTTTTCTCTGACCTCGTTTTGTTTCAGCAGTAGATTACTTTTAAAATGATTTTACGCATAACTCCACTATAGAAAATAAAAGATGGAACAGCTGTGGTTAGTGTGGGGTGAGGGCCTGGCACCCAGGGCTGCCTGCTCTGTGATGCCCTCTGGGCTCCCTGCTTACTGCTTTCTGTGGGAGATGGAGATCAGGTGGGGACCCCAGAGGAGGCAGGGACTGGCCTGCCACACCCAGAACCAGAGCAAGAAGTGATGCTGGGTGTCCGGAAGGGCTGGGCTGTGGGCACAGACTCTGACAGGCCACAGGACATCACGGGGGGGACCAAGGTGACTGGGTGGGGAGTAGTCAAAGGGCAAGGGAGGGAGGTGGGAGGCAAAGGTGGAGCACAGCCTCTGAGGGGGTGGCTGTGTTGCCACTGTCCCCACAGTGGCCTCACATGAGCCTGGCTGGAGCAGCACCTATTCCTGCAGAGTGGGATCCAGTGGTTGGGTCTGGAAAGGCCTAAAAGCACAGGCATGCCCTTCTGCAGAGGGGAAGCTGGGGACTTGACTGGGCCCTCACTTGGCACCTGGAGACACTGCTGCTGAGGTCCTGAACAGGCCCCTCCTGGGTCGAGTCCCTGGTTCTGTTCCTGCTGAGCTAATCATCACCATGGTCACAGCTCCACCATTGATTGGCATTGACTCTGCTCTTGCCTGGGTCTCTGTGTGACAGCTGGGCCTTTGTCTAGCTGACCAGATGCCCTGGGTGGTAGATTGCCTGTAGGGATGTTCAAGGGATCATTGATACTTCTGGCCAAGAGCGGTGAGTTAGGCATAATTTGTTGGGCCTTCCCAGTTGCTTCTGGTGGCCAGCAATTCCCTGCCATTGGAAGCCAGGATGGAAACACTGCCTCCCCACCTTGGAACCCTTCTACTTCAGCTGTTTTCTCTGACCTCATTTTGTTTAAGTAGTAGACTACTTTTAAAGTGATTTTACGAATAACTCCAGTTCCCATGGGTTGTGATGATAATGATGATGATGATGATAAAGGAGTGTCTTGTATCCATGTGGTTCTTCCAGGGTAGAAAATCCTGGAATCATACCCCAGCCAGCCTGCCTTCCTCATCCCTCACTTCAGTCATAGGGCTCCCAGGTGCTGCACATCTGTTTAGGGTAGAAGTGCCCTGGCACACTTGCCATCGTCCACCTAACAGGTGCCAGGGGCAGACATTACTAATCAATCTACCTCTCTCCCCTGGGAGCCCAGATGGGTTCATGATCTTTTCTACAGACCCCTACAGCAGCCATAGGAAATTAACAGGACCTGGCACTTGGGTGGCATTTCTGATTTGTGGCATTCATTTGTTCATTTGTGCATGCATCTAGTAAAACATGTATTGGTTTCTGTTATGAGCCAAACACTGCTCAGTGCAAGGAACAGAAGACATAGTCCCTACTTTTGAGGAGCTCTGGGGAGCAGAGTTTAGAATTTGTTCCCCAGGACCCCAGGGTAATCAGGACCTAATTGTTGAGGGTGTCAGAAAAGGGCAGGGGCCTTTTGTGCTGTGTGGGATTGAGCCAGCCACATTCACTGTGTACCCTGTGCCAACAGTGGATGACAGGGCCTCTTCTGAGTCATAGAATAAATCCTGGCCAGAAAAAGGCTGGTGGCCTATCTTTTTTTCCCCCTTTTTAAAAATTTCAGGTTAATATGAGGTATAAACAATTAGGTTACAATATTTGCATTTGTTAGGTAAAGTCCCTGTTGTAGCTGTGTCCCACACCCAGGAGGTGTGCCATATACACTTACATTGTGCCCATTTGATGGAGACAGACTAATCTTCCTCCCTTCTCCCCTCCCCCTCCCTCCTCCTCTTCCCTCCTCCCCCTCCCTTCTCCTCTCTTTCCCCCTCCCCCCAACTTGAATTGAATTGTATTTTTCTCTTGCGTGGGTGTGTATTAGATCATCTACTGGCTTCATTTTAGTATTGAGTACATTGGATACTTACTTTTCCATTCTTGTGATACTTGACTAAGAAGAATGTGTTTCAGCTCTATCTAGGTTAATACGAAAGATGTAAAGTCTCCATCTTTTTCACGGCTTCTGGTGACCTATCCTTACTAATACCTTCTTTCCTGCAGGAGCAGGGGCTGAAGGCCAACAACTCCAAAGAGTTAAGCATGTGCTTCACAGAGGTGAGTGAGGAGCAGAGGAGGGGAGTGGGCACAGGGGACTGGGCTGGAGGCGCTGTTCCCCATGTGAGCCTCAGACTCGGAGCCCCCAAATGCCACTGCATGGGCTGGGTCAGCTGAGCTTCTGGGCCCTCGTGGACCTGGATGGACACTCACTCTGCTGGGTGGGTGTCGGGAATGCAAGGTCTGCATCTGGGGCCCATGGCTGTCTCCCTGGGGAGAGAAAAATGGCTTCCACATCTTCCTTTCTCTTAAGACAAATGTATTGACCATCTGCTCGGTGTTGGCTCTGTGATATTTACAAGGTAGAGAGATGGAAAAAGACACAGTCCCTTCCTTGAAGCATGGGACTTCATACAGTATATAAATATGACTTACAGACCTAAGATAATAACTTAGTTGAGAAGACAGGCAGTGTGAGATTCTGTAGAGGCAGGAGAGAGAAACTCAGATAGAGACATGCAGGGAGGGCTTTATGGAGGAAGAGGGATTCGAACAAATTCAGGAAGAGAGCGTGTGACCTCCCTCTCCTTCCTCTCAAGAAGCAGATCCTTGTGGACCCTGAGATCTTTATACTCTCTCCCTCCTTGCTGGGGTGTAGGGCTCTAGCCCCAGTGCAGGGAACAGCCAGCCGCTTTCCTGAGAACCACGGTCCTGCTTCTTCCAGCCCTAGGGCTTACAGCCACAAAGGGCAGAGCATTCACTGCCTTCTGTTCCTGTCTCACGTGGCTCCATGAAAGTGTGGCTCTGTCCTCTGGGTGGACAGGGAGGGCAGGAGCTTGAGGGGCCAGCTCTCAAATCCTTTCCTTTGCCTGATCCCAGGCCTACTGATGGTTGTTTTTTAAAATCATTCTCTTTGTTTCTCTCTCCTCTTCTGCTGTGGACTCAGCTCACGACAAATATCATCCCAGGGAGTAACAGGGTGATCAAACCTAACTCAGGCCCCAGCAGAGCCAGACCGTCGGCTGCCTTCACTGCTGTCTCCCTCCTGATGCTGAAACTGGCCTTGTAGGCACCGGGAACGTGGCAGAAGATTCCTGAAAGCTACACAGACAAGAACACCCGCCTGACAAAATGGAAACACACACAGACACACACACACACCTTGCAAAAAATAATTTTTTTCCCCACCTTGTCGCCGAACCTGTCTCCTCCCAGGTTTCTTCTCTGGAGAAGTTTTTCTAAACCAAACAGACAAGCAGGCAGGCAGCCCAAGAGCCGGCCCTGGGGTCCTTGGCGCCAAGGAGGGCTCAAGGCTCTGGGAATGCCCTTCACTCTCTCCTGGTGTTTTCCTCTCTGGATCCTTTGGAAGCAGAAACCAAGACGAGAGCCTTGCAGCTGAAGGGACTCACGGCTGTGCTTGGGGCGGGCTGGGGCGGGCTGGGGCAGGATGCTGCAGCTGCTTTTTTAAGCTGCCCACTCTGGGAACCTGCTGGGCTGGCAGAGAGCCTCAGCCCCAGCGAGGTGGCAGGGCTGGCCATGGGGGTCCAGCTGGGCATGTTCAGCCCTTCCTCTTGGCTTCAAGGCAGGAGTTGGTCCCACGCTTGCTCTCTGCCCTCAGGCAAGCTATGGGAGTCTGTATCTGGTGTGGGAGCCCCCGTTTATGCCAATGGGGGAGCACTGTGCTAGACTCCCCCCGACTGTAGCACAGACTGGTAGGCCCGGCCCGCTCAGCCTGCCTGGGAGACCCCCTTGTGGGGAGGGAGCAAAATGTGGGCACCAGCCCTAAGGGTGTTTCTTCCTCCTTGGTGGCTGGAATTTTGAGATCAAGAGAAATGATACTTTGTTGGCTTTTTTTGCTTCTTGTGAGTCCGTGTGGCGGGTCTCCCTTTGGGGAGAGGGACAGGGGAGACCACAGCAGGACACGTGCTGACGACACTCTGGCCTTTCTCTGGCTCTCTCCGTCTCTCTTCTCCCCCTCCTCCAGTCCATGTTCTCTGCCCTCGTTTCCGAGACATACGTCGACTGTATGTACATACCAAGGCTCCTTTCTCGACATATATGTATATACACATCCATATACATATATCGTGTGGTTCCCCTTTCTTTCCTTTTTTTAAGAAGCAAAACTATCAAAATAATATCCCAACAGATGAGCGAAAATGTATTATTGTAAAGTTTATTTTTTTTAATAATGTTGTCTATAATGGGAACTAAAGGAAATTGACCCCAGCGTCTGGCTGCAGTCAGGCCGACTGGGCTCCGGCTGGGGTCCCGGATCGCGTCTGCGCTTAACCAAGGCTCCAATAAATGTACTAGGAAGCGAGCTGCCTGTGCCTCACTGCGGCGTGCCTTTGTCCCCATTTCACTCTTGGTTCAGTGCCCCCTGTTGGTGGTGTACCTGGGGCTCCCAGTGGGCCCAGGGAAGTGTGTGTGTGTGCATACGTGTATGCGTGCCCCCGTCGGTCTCATCCACATGTCCATGCCCTGGGGAGATGGAGCTCTCTTGGGAGCTGGTTTGACACCCCAGGGTCTGAGATCCCAGCTGCGCAGAGTGGGCCAGGCTGTTTTGTCTCCTCCCTCTTCACCTTCCTCGTAACCCAAGTGCCTAGGGCTCCTAGACGTGGGGATGGTGGAGGGAGAAAGAACGGGGCTTTACATCTTGGGTCTGTTTTATTTTCAGGCTGCCTGGGTGGGCCTCTTAGGTGGCTCTGGTAGCCTTCCCCACAATGGGGAGCTGTGCGCACTGGGGACTCTGGGGTCATTTGAGATGCGTTATTGTGAAGGCAGGGACCTGGCCTCTCGGATCCCACCAGAGCAGGAAGATGTCTGTGAGTGTTCTGGGGTCCGGGTGCAGAAGAGCACAGTTTTCTTTTGTCTCTCTTCATCCCATCCTTCCTTCTTAGTCCATTTGCCATCCCCACCCCACCTGGATATGACCTGCCATATTCCCCCAGGGAGACTCTCCCTGGAGAGGACTAGGAGGAGGCCTGCTGTCTGAGAGTGTGTGAGGGGTCTGTGTGCGTGTGTGCATGGTGAGCCTATGTGCGTGTGTGTGCATGTGCACATCAGGATGTGTGTCCACAGCAGGAGGGAGGAGGGAAGAACGTCAGGTAAGGGGACATTCCCACGGTCAGCCTGACCTTCAGAGTTGCACGTGATCTCGTCCTGTCACCACTGGATGATGGGATATCATTTTCCAGTCTCTCAGTCCTGGGTCACCTCACATGGCTCTTGTTTCTGGTTGCACATGTGTTAGGAACATCTGCTCCAGGCAGTGATCACTGTGGCGTGTTTCATTCTGGTCTGCAAGGCGGGAGGACATTGAGCCGGTCAGCTGTTTGCCCAGCTACGCCTGGCCTTACTGTGGGTAGAGCAGGTGGTTGTGGCAGCCCCTTGGGAATCCATGTTCCTCGCAAATGGGAAGAAGGTGGCTCACAGAACCAGTGGGAGGTGGGAGGACTCAGCTAGGCGAGGGCAGAATCCAGAGGACAGGACCTTCTGGGTCAGCCTCCTGCTGCCTCTGTGATGAACAATCACCTGCCTTCATCCAGCTGGCCAGACTGGGCCTTGTGCCTGCCCCCACCATACTTGGGTTGGAGAAGGATCTGCCACTTCTGGTATCCCTAAGGACGCAAGTCCTTGTTACGTACTCGGGGAGAGAAAATCTCCACAAGGGAAACTGAGGTAGGAGGGTGGGCTAGATGCTGGGCAGCTGTTCTCTGTCTTAAAACTTTGTCTCATCCAAATAGCACATGGCAGGAATTTTACCACTGAGTATCTGTTCCTTTGGTTGAGACAATTCCTATTCTCTGTGATCCTCAAAAAATACCTACACAAAACTGGGCAGGGTAAAATGTTACTATCTTTATGTTAATTAACTTAGTGTTGTGAATGAATCTTAGCAACAGGAAGATATTTGGGCCTAGACATTGAGATTGGTGTTGAGAGACTGACAGGGCAGAGAAACAGGAAGTAAATCAGGAAAAGATTGATACGGACCACCAGAGATGGGTTTTGAGTTATTTTAGAGTTATTTGGGGACAGTGCAACCACACGCAGTTTAGGCTCCCTGTGCCTTTACCTCCGCGTCAGCAAAGTGTAAAAAATAGCCACCAGCCCCTGAGGATCCTGAACTGGGGCACGTATCTGTCTGCAAGGCTGTCTGGCAATGTTTTCTAGGCTTCAGAATGTAGGAATGTCTCCCCTCGTTGGGGAAGCTTCCAGTATGGGAAAATTATGCTCAGTCAAGAACCTGGACAGCAGCTGTCTGCCAGGCTCTGTGTCAGCCACTCTTTTTTCCGTGTAGCCAGGGCCACGCGGACCAGGACCAGGTTATTGCCTAGCAGAGACCTGCAGTGGGGTCTGAGGAGGCCCCATCAGAAGCTCTGGGGACTGGGTTCAAGTGAGCCCTGTTGCTGGTACCACCCTGACCCAGCAGTGGGCCTCCCAGCCAGGCCCCTACCTGTGTCGAGACCAGACGGGTTGCCATCTTGGTTCACGCAGACTTTCTCTGTAAAGGGTCAATGTAGGCTTTGTGGGCCATGCTGTCTCCGTTGAAATTACCAACTCTGCACAACAGCAGTCACAGGCAATGTGTCAGTGGCTGGGCATGGCTGTGTTTCAATAAAACTTTATTTGTAGAAACAGGCACAGGCCAGATTGGGCTCATGGGCTGTCATTTGCTAGCCCCTGCTCTAGATGACCTCTGAGACTAAGCTCTCAATCCCAGACAGGTGGACCACAGAGTGACTGACAGTGATAAGGCTGAAGTCATCCTTAGGTTAGAGGAAGAGAGGGCAGGCCAGCCCACTGTGCAAAGGGAGGTGCACTCAAGAAAGAAAGGTGGGAGAAACACAGGGGACCAAGGAGAGGAACCATGTGGCCCATGGGCCAGACACACAGGTGCAGGCTGGATTGTGGGGGCTGCATATACCACTGTGAGGTCATGCTCTGCTCAGGGTCAAGATCAGCAGGGCAAGTGGGGCTGAAATCCAGGCACACTCAACTCACCTATCCATGTACTTCTGTTGGAGCCTCAACCCTGACTATGGGCCTTGTTTTCCTGATTTGACAGAGGTCCCCATGTGTGCTGGGGGAGGAGCTGTGGCCAAGAGCAAGCAGTGCTGTCACTCTGGGGCAGGGAGAGGAGAGGGTCTTCAGTACACAGAGAGGCCTCTCGCATAGCTGTCAGCGAGTCACTTACCCTCCCAGGACTCCACTATCCTCATCTACAAAGGGAGAAGCGGGAGGGCTGTTCCCCCAGCTTCCTGCCGCAGTGGGGTTCTGTGTCCTAGGACTCACAGCCATTTCTGAGTTCACTGGCCTGGTACAAAATGACTTGATGGAGACAGAATTCATCTCCCTTTCAGTAAACACTGTCATCCCGCTTGGTTGCTCCAATTTTTTTCTGAGCATCTTGTACAGAGCTAGGGACTGCCGGCTGTGGGGCTCAGTTTGGGCATGGCACCTCACACCCTGGCTCATTCCCCCTCCTTCAAGATAGCATCTCTTGGGAAGCCAACCCCTGGGGCCACATGGAGAAATAACACCCATCTTCTTCCCTCCCTCTGTGGGGGAGGGAACGCTTGAGTCACCTAGATCTGCATAGTGCCTAGCAGTCAGAGGTCACAGAGTCCCCACACATGGACCACCCAGGGAGAAAGGGACTCTCATCAATCATCTCTGTGGGAAAGGAGTTTGCACAAGCTCTTGCAGCCAGAAGAGAGGCTTCCAGAAAAACTCTTCCTTGGTTTTTTTCTACACACCTGACAGACCTCCCCTCCCCTTCCTTCCCTGTCCACCAACACACAGGAGGGAGGTTGACAATGTAAGATGAAGGTCGCTGCTTCCACCCTACTGTTTAAGACTCAGTAGGATGACACTGGCTGGCCCTGTCCATCCTTCACTTTTATCCTCAGTGGAAGATAAAAGGCCTTTTGCAGGGACCCCAGTGACCTGAGATTACTCTGAATTCCTGTTTTGTTAGAGAGCTGGTGAGTGTGAGGCCACCGTGACCCAAGGGTTCTGTGTTGAAACACTGCCTTTTGGGTGTGTATTTGCAGCATTCTACCCTGGGTGCCTGGCGGTGAGGGCCTGCTGAAACAACCCTCTCTTGCAAATGGAGAAGACCGGACCTTATCGATAGCTGGGAATGGTGATGACCCCCAGCCTGACCCCTCCTGCATCTCTGCGTGTAGCTCTAGGGCAGTCTTGGAAAGGACAGGTCTAGAAAGGGCACCAGGCAGCATGCGAAGTGTTTGTGCAGCAGCCACGCTATTGGGTCCCTAAAGACTTGGGAAGTTGGGTGAGTTTCCTTCTTCTGTGGGGGTTGGTGGGAAGACTCAAAAGTCCACACCACCTGGGACCTGTATTGTTGAGTTTGTGCGCTGCTTGGAGAGCGGGCCTAGGGCTTTTCCAGATGCCACCTGGGGAGGGCTCAGCTGAGGGCCACATGGACAAGTATCCACAATGTTAGAAAGAACAGGGGGTGTGTGCTGCCTCCTTCTGCATCAATACGATTGATCAAATGATTGATTTCTGGCAGCAAGAAGAGCTCCTAAGGACCTCCCCCAGCCAAAAGGAGTCTCCCGGGGGATCCCCCCTCCTAGGGGTTCCGTTTGTCCTCTAAGGTCCTCTGACTCTGTCCCTGGGGACTGCTGCCCAGAGACACCTCCCCTCTCACTCTCCTCACCTGACCCACTGCTGTCAGGCCAGTGTGGGCTTCAGACAGCAGGTGAGGGACTCTGGGTACAACGAGTGCATGCCGATTAGGTCACTGCTAACATCTGTGTCCTGTTAGACATTCAGCTTGGCACAGCCTTGGAATCCAATCATTCTCTTCCCCAAATTCCCTCTTTCATCCGTTCTCTTTAGAACTTCTTCCGCCTGGCTGGTGTTCTGCCTTCTGCCTCCTAGCATAGGTGTTGGGCTCGGCATTTGCAGGCCCTGGAGGAGGACGGGCTCTTTTCCTCTGACTTGTCTGCTCTGGGTCAGGATTTCTCCTCCTCTTGCCTGTCTGGACCCAAGTCAGCATCATCTCGGGAGATCTCATCTGGTTCATCGTCCCATCTGCATTCTCCCTGCTGTCCAGTTCAGACCCTCATACGGTCTTTTCCCCTCCATCAGGAGTGAAGTTGAGAGAAGGAATCTATGAGGCACTTGTCAGCATGTTTGGCGGCCTCACTCCACCCATGTGGTTTGCCCAAATACTGCTGACATTTTCCCCAGTTATTAACCTCTTCAAATTTTACTGTGCATTTTCTTGCATCTTTCTGGCAATCTGGGGGCAGAACTCCATTCATTTGAATTCACTGGGAAGCTTTA